TTCAGCTTGAATTTGCATATGAGTAGTTGGTGGTCTGTTTCACAATCAGCTCCTGGCCTAGTTTTCACAGCTGATATTGAGCTTCTCCAGTGGTTTTTTCCACAGATGTCATCGATCTGATTCCTATGCATACCATCAGGTGAAATCCAGGTATATAACCTGCATTTTTGTCTCTTAAAAAATGTATTTGCTATGAATAAATCATTGATTGTGCAAAATTTGATCATTCTCTCTCCAGCTCCATTTCCATCACTGAGTCCATGTTTTCCAACTACTGAATCTTCTTCTTCTTTGTTCCCGACTTTTGCATTCCAGTCATTCTAAACCAGTCTAAGGGCTGATTGGAACACACTATAAGTTATTCATGTACAAATTCAAATTGAAGATGAGGAGCAATAAGCACCAAAATATGACCTTAAGCCTTTCTCAACAGCTCCCCCCGCCCCTTTATCTCAAGAATAGCTTCGATGCACTGAAAACTAATGACCAAAGACCAGGTGCTTTATAGGATGATCTCAAGTATATTATCCCTAAAGAAAGCCGAAGGTCATTACAAAGATGGGGGTCTTTACAAAGAAAGTGGATGTCAGAAGAAACTCTGAAAATTGCACCAGAAAGTGCAAAGGCCAAAACAAAAAGAAGAAATAATGAAGTAAAAGAAGGAAGACTTCAAAGTACAGCTTGAGAAAAAAAAACCAAAAACCATTTATAATGTTGTGCCACAATCGGGAGTCCCCCAAAGGACAATAGGGAGCTGAAATCAATGCAAGAACATGAGGAATTTTATTACCAGCTTAAGCAGGGACTCTGCAGAAACACTGACTCAGTGGCAGCGTGGCAGAGCCCCGAGCTCTTTGTGTCCAAGACTTTTATTGGCGCTGGGAGAGGTCAGTATCCATTGGGGGCTGGGAGATATAAGAGGATTGGAAAACTAGTGGGGGAAGGTGGTGATGACACAGGACCACTCGCTGTTTTGAAAAGAGCAGGCTCATTAGCAAGGACATGAATATTTAGCATACCATGATTGGTGTGAGGACCATAGGGGTGGAGTTAGAGTTACTTCCCTGTTGCTGAGGTCCTTTCAGGAAGTGAAGTTGAGAAAAGCAAGGACAAAGAACTGATGATGGTGACCAGACCAGAGATATATATAACAAATCTCGACTCGTACAATATCATGAACTGTGCAAGGAGCTGGAATTAGAAAACCAAAAGGGAAGAACATGCTTGGCTTTTCCCAAGCTGAAGAGACCGAGGAACAAATTTAACCCTCCAGTTGCAGTACTGATGGAGTCTATAGGCAAAATCTTTAACAACTCAGAAGCGTAAAAAAAAGGTGGAAGGAACACACAGAGTGACTGTACAAAAAAAAAAAAGTTGGTTGACACTGAACCATTTCAGAAAGTAGAATATGATCTAGAAGTAATGGCAATGAAAGAAGTTCAAGGCCCTTTGAAGGTATTGGGAGGCGGGGGAGATAAGTCCCCTGGACTTTGTGGAATAAAAACTGACATGTTTCATCAGGATTTGAGGGAGAGTCAACAACAACTTGCTTTATGCAGACGATACAACCTTACTTACAGAAACTGAGGAAGACTTGAAGCATTTGTTGCAAAAGGTCAAGGACTGCAGACCGCAAAATGGATTGCATCTCAACATCAAGAAAACAATAATTCTCATCACTGGGCCAATTGACATTATCATGATAGATGGAGAAAAGATTAAAATTGTTAAGGGGAAAAAAAACCCAACCCTGACATGCTTCAACAAACAGACACAGCTCTGCATGCACTTACTAGGCTATCCCAAGAAATTTGGAGGACACTTGCCTGGCCAACTGACTGAAAGAAATCCATATTTATTCCCATTCCAAAGAAAGGTCATCCAATAAAATGTGGATGTCATAGAATACTATAGAATAATATTAAATGGTAAAATAGATATCATAGAATAATATCATTAGTATCAGATGTAAATAAAATAAAATCTTGTTGGGGATTATTAAAAAAAAACAAACACCACATACACAGCTGAAACAGTACATTGACAGAGAACATCCAGAAATTCAAGCTGGACTCAAAAGAAGCTATGGAAACAAGGATATCATTGCTGATATCAGACAGATCTTGGCTGAAAGCAGAGACCACTAGAAAGATGTTTACTTATTTTTTTATTGACTATTCAAAAGTATTTTGACTTCATGAAAGCTTATCAAGAAGCTGTATCATGCATATGACACATCTTGCTTGCAGAAATGAGGAAGACTTGAAACACTCACTGCAGATAAAAACTATAGCCTTCAATATGGATTACATCTCAGTATTAAGAAAACAAAAATCTTCCCCAGTAAAATTGGCAACATTATGATAGATGGAGAAAAGAAGTTGTCAATGTTTTCATTTTACTTGGATCTACAATCAACAATCATAGTAACAACAGTCAAGAAGCCAAAAGACATGTTGGGAAATCTGCTTTTAACCATCTTTCTAAAGTGATAAAGTATGAAGGAAGACTCATCAACACTCTGAGTTATGCAGATGATTCAACCCTGCTTGCTGAAACTGAGGAGGGCCTGAACTGCTTGCTGCAGAAAGTCAAGGACTACAGCCTTCAATATGGATTGAAGCTCAACATTAAGAAAAAGATTCTAATCACTAGGCCAATTGGCAGCATCATGATAGATGGTGAAGAAATTGAGATTATTAACCACTTTAGCTTGCTTGGGTCCACAGTCAACACTCTTGGTACTAACAGGCAGGAAATTAAAAGACGAATTGCATTGGGAAAGTCTGCTGTCAGAGACCTCTCCAAAGTACTGAAGAGCAAAGATGTCAGTCTGGAGATTAAGGTGCGCCTGATACAGGCCATGGTCTTTGCAATCACTTGCCATGCATTAGAGAGCTGGACAATGACTAGGGATGATAGAAGGAGAGTTGATGCCTTTGAGTTGTAGTTCTGGAGAACAGTATTGAATATATGATGGACTGATAGGTGAACAAACAAGTTCGTCCTGGAAAGGGTGAAGGCAGGCTGTTCCATGGAGGAAAGGATTCTGAAGCTTTGTCTGACATGCTTTGGACATGTTTCAAAGGAGGGTGGAGGGACGGCACAGGAGAGGAAGACCCTCAATGAAATGGATTATTTCGGTCACTGGGGTAAAGGGGATAGGTGTGTCAGAGACAATAAGGTTGGCAATGGATAGAGCAGAATTTAGGGTTGTTGTACATATAGTCACTGAGTCGTGGGCAACTTGATGGTACAGAACTACAGCAATCAGAGTAAGTACTAAGTTCAGCCAGATCCAAGCCATGGTCTTTTCATTGGTTCTTGTGCATCTGAAAATTGGATGATGAGTAAAGATGACAGAAGGATAGGTGCCTTTGAATTGTGGTGTTGGAGAAGAGTAACAATTATGAAGAAAACAAAGATTCTCACCACTGGGCCAATTGGCAGCATCGTGATGGATGTTAAAGAGATTGAGATTGTACACAGCTTTAGTTTGCTTGGCTCCACAATCCAGCAACCAGGAAATTAAAAGACAAATTGCATTCTGAAAGTCTGCTGTCAGAGACCTCTCCAAAGTACTAAAAAGCAATGATGTCAGTCTGGAGACTAAGGTGTGCTGTGCCTGATACATGCCATTGTCTTTGCAATCACTTGCTATGTGTCAGTCCTGAAAAAGACATCATTCTTGGTAAGGTAGAGGATCATAAAAAGAAAGATCCTCAACAATATGAATTGACAAGGTGACTGTATCAATGGGCTGGAGTGAGTTGGAAATTTTTAAGATGGTGCAGGATAAAGGAAGATTCAGAACTTTTGTTCACAGGACTGTCATAATCAATTATTCAATAGATGGCACCTAACAACAGTTACTGTTACACAGCCAGACATGCGATAGAACAGAGAGCATAAATACAGGGGCCCAGCAGTTTCATGGACTGAAGGGCCCAGATTCCTGCTTCCCTGTATCTTTATTGAAAATTATCAGAAAGTAAATCACAAAGAAAATTCAATGCAAATGAAGCCAAATTCTTTCTATTGAAAGCCTTCCTCTTGACTCAGGAGGGAGGGATCAGCAAATACAATGCAAGAATCCGGTAAACCTTTAAGGATTGACTTCATACCTCAGGGTGAATTCCATCCTGAAATAGCATTCAGTTTATTACAGATATTTAGTATTGGCTTCCCATGTTGTTGTTGTTGTTGTTGTTGTTGTTATGTGCCATTGAGTCCCTTGTGTACAACAGCCCTAAACCCTGCTCTATCCTGTGCCAATCACACTGCCTCTGACACACCCATCCCGATTACCCCAGTCACTGAATCAATCCATCTCATAGAGGGTCTTCCCCTCTTGTGCCGTCCCTTCACCCTCCCAAGCATGATGTCCCTCTCCAAGGACCTGTCCCTCCTTGAAACATGCCCAAAGTAAGTCAGATAAAGCCCCAGAATCCTTGCCTCCAAGGAGCAGCCTGGTTTAACCCTCTCCAGGATGAATCTGTTTGTTTTCTTGGCAGTCCGTAGTACATTCAATACTCTTCTCCAGCACCACAGCTCAAAGGCATCAATTCTCCTTCTGTACTCCCTAGTCATTGCCCAACTCTGACGCATAACAAGTGATTGCAAAGACCATGGCCTGTATCAGGTACACCTTAGTCTCCAGAGAGACACCATTACTCTTTAGTACTTTAGAGAGGTCCCTAACAGCTTATGGCTTCCCATAAGATGTTATATATGTCCCTTGTTACTTATTGATATGAAATGAAATTCACAGGTTACATTCTTTTTAAGGTCAACAAAGCTAATCCAAGATTGCCTGAAAATGCTTTCCACATAGATGAACTTCCCGTTTTGCTCAACTTTCCTGCAGAGAGACACAGAGTATTATTTCAGAATAGAAACATGGTAAGAGTAACATTTTCATTTCTGAAAATCTTTACTTAAAATGAGAAATATTAGTAACTGAGTATCCTCCTGATAAAATATGATTTGAATCTTTTCTCAATGCAGTGCAAAAAATTGCTGAATTAGATGATTGCTTAAAAAAAGAACATCTTTTATTCACAAAGCAAGTACTTTAAAAAGACATTTGTTTCTAGGTACTTGATACTCTTAAGAGCATATTCCCAAAGTACACAAAGAAGAATTTAAAGTGATAAAGGAATTAAGTATTTCCTCTCTTTTTTTCTAAATGATCAAAGCTATTGTATCTTATTTTATTAGGTATGTGACAAAAACTTGAGTCCAGTTCTTTTCAGTGACTTTCCATTTGTCTTTAATTTTCTCTCCAAAATGAAATTACTGCAAGCTGACTCGGAAATTAAAATGAAGGTATGTATACCCATCTTTAGGGTTTTTTTTATTATGTAAAATTTCAAACATACATAGTGAACTCTAGAATTCAATTGTTGCACTTGTTTTGCCTATTACTTTTGTTGCCTTTGAAGGATTTGAAAGTAACTCTTACTTTCAATTTCTTTTCATTTCTATATGTATCATTGTATTATGTCTAGTTGTCTCATTTATGCTTATTTATCACTGGATTCAGATAGTACCATAATTTAATAATGTTACTGATTTATGATCTTTATCTATATACAATCTTTTGTTAAAGTTTCCAAAATGCATCCATTCCTCACTTAATGACAAGCTTAGGTTTTAAAGACTAGGTTGTTATGGAAAAGTAGAGAATGACCACTTCCATTCAGAAAAAGGATGACAACATCATATCATTGCAAATTACCTATATGCCTACCGTATGTAACTACCAAAACACTGACAATTGTGACTTCGCCATGTTGGCACATAGCCTTAAGGATCAGAGCTAACATTACTCTCACCTTACACTCTGACATTCATTACAACAGGATCTACATCATTAATTAGCATATTAGTCAGGCAGATTTTTTGTAAAAATTTATAGTAAATCTGAAATGTCAGATAATGAGATAAGTGAGGAACATATAAAATAATATTATCATTTTATCATTTCTGTCAAAATTATTATTCAAGACTCTGTAAAGAACTTTTCTTCAACAATCAGGGCTGAAAAATCTTTGACATGGGAAAGATAGGATGATATTTAGTCCTTTCTCTTTCATTGCTAATTTTCACAGGGAGGAAGAAGTTAGTGCCAAAATTACCTTTAATAGTGTGAAACACAGAATTTTATTTATCTATGTATGTATTTTTCATTATGGATTACATCTCAAGAAAACAAAAATTCTTACCTCTGTACCAATAGGCAACATTATGAGAAATAGAGGAATACTGACGTTGTCAGCATTTTATTTAACTTGGATTTGTAATCAATATCTAGGGTAACAGCCATCAAGAAATCAAAAGGTGTATTGTATTAGGGAAATGTGCTGTTAAGGACCTCTCCTTAATCCTTGTACTTTAGTACAAGGATATTAGTTTAAAGACTAAGATGTGTCTGATACAAGTGTCTTCATTTACTCCTAATGTGTCTGAAAAGTTGGATGATAAAGGATGGCAGATAAAAAGAATCAGTGCCTTTGAGTAGTGGTGTTAGGCTGCCAAAAGAACAAACAAGTCTGTTTTGGAGGAAATGCAGCAAGTATGCTCTTTAGAGCTAAGCTCGGTGAAACTTCATCTCACATACTTCAAGCATGTTGTCAAGAGGAGTCAGTAATTGGAACAGGATATCATGCTGGGAAAGGTAGAGGGTCAGAGAAACAAAAGAAGGTCTTCAACAAGATGAATTGACACAATGACTCTAAGAGTGGGCTTAAGCATATCAGAGATGGTGACTGTAGCATCAGACTGGGCAAGATTCAGTTCTGTTGTTAATAGAGTAGCTATGATTTGTAGAGCATTTGATGAAACCAAGTAATAAGAACAATAGGACTTGGGGTTGTTTGAGTTTGAAAATTCTTAAATATCCTTTTGCTAATACAAGGCCCTAGATCTAGCTTCTTTGTCCATAATTTATCAGTAACTTTGTGACACAACAATATGCCCCAGACTTGATTCAAGCCATAATCTTTTCAGTCACTTACTATTCATCTGAGATCTGGACATCAGTGAATAAGGATAACAGATAAAGAATTTATATCTTTGATTTGTGGTGTTGGAGAAGAATATTGAATAATCCCATATCAAAAGAATAAACAGATATGTTTTGGAAAAAGTGCAACCAGAGTGCTTGTTGGAAGCAAAGCATTGTGAAAGGGGCATCATGCTTAATAGAGGAGATGGTCATTGAAAGAGAGGAAAACTCTCAACGAGAACTGACACAGTGACTGCAGCTATAGGGTCAAGTATGTCAAAGATGAAAAGGATAGCACAGGATAGGACAGGGTTCAGATCTGTTGTTCATAGGGTCTCGATGAGTCATTGGCTCAATGGCAACACTAATGTCATCTTATACATATTCTTACCTGGAAGGAGTCATTGTTTCAAGGAACCCTTGCTCTCTTTCTAAGGGAAAAGAATTGCAAACAATGCATTCAGTCAACACAATACTTATTACAATTCGTTAGCATTATTTACAGACCATCTCAGTAGATATAACTTGAACTTACATATTTTTGTAAAGAGAAAACAAATCATAACTTCTTAGCAGTATTTCCAATTCAAATCTAACATTGCAACTTTTATTCATGGTCATGAAAGAGTAAGTAACAACTTACTCTTGCACCATAAGACAAATTAATTAATAAATCTAATAAGCAAAAGAAAACTAGGTACCATGTATCAAACAGTCACTTTCAGATATTGGAACAATTAGGCAGTTCACTGTCCCTTAGCTTTACATTGTTAAAATACTTGATATTGTCAACAGTTTTAACAACAGCCTTGTTAAAGCATAGATAGTACCTCTTTCCTCTTGGGATTTTAAAATAAACTGTACTACATTACTTAGAGTATTTGAGTAGTCCATGCAATTGGTTACGAACCTCACCACCTGAAAAGTATACTGCTTGCTAAAAGGAATAGAAAATGATACAACTTGGTAAAACAGTCTGCAGTTTCTCCAAAAGAGAAACTACATGTGCCTTTGTTGTTGTTAATTGGTACATGTTTTGGAAGTGATTCTGAATTCATAGTGATCCCATGTGACAGAGCAAACCTACTCCGTAGGCAGTAATTTTTACAGAAGCATATCTCTAAGTCTTTCTCTTGAGGAGTCACTGGATGGAATGGCCCCCTTTCTAGTTAGCAGCTGAACATCTAACCATTGCACTACCAATTTGCACTTCTATTTCTCTTATATCCTAGAAAGTCAGCTCCTACATCTTTAGCCAAAATAAGAATAATTGTCCACACAAAGACCTGTACATAGATATTCATAGCAACTTTATTCATAGCCCCAATATGCAAACAGTTCAAGTGTACATCAACAGATGAATGGGTAAGGGAAGCCAATATCCCTACATTAGAACTTATTCCACAAAAAATGGGATGCATGGACTGCCAACACATAGTTTAATGGGTAATAATGACAACTACCTAGGCACCTACGAGGGTGATTTTAATCTGTAGCCCTCAGGCCTGGTTTAAATTGTGGGGGTTTTTTTCCATTCTTCTAAGTGGTATAGCACTGGTCTGTGCATTGCTGTGCAGAGAGATCTCGTGGTTGCTATGATGCTGAACACTATGACACTGATGTGTCAAACGTGATACTGGTTACCCATGGTGGGCAGTGTTTGGTGGAGCTTCCCAATTAAAACAAACTTGGAAGCAGGAGTGGCATCAACTTCCAAAACAGCTTGCCTCCGGAAACTCTATGAACATGGAGAAACAACCAAAGTTATACAAGTGTTCAGGTCTTTTGTTCGTAGGGTCACTATGAGTCATCTACAACTTGACAGCACTTTACAACAACAATGACAACAACAGCTAAGCACCTAAGGAGCTGTGCTGCCAACCCAAAGGCAGGTGGTATGGATCCACTAGCTGTTCCACAAAAGAAAGATAGGCAGTTCCCTGCCATGTGGTGTACAGCTTCCGGAAGTCCTCTGGAGGGTCAGCTCTGAGTTAGTTCTGACTTGAAGGCAATGAGTTTTGAGTTTTTTAAACCAGGCATCTATTGTACAGTGTAAGAATTGTGTGACTAGGTAAAAATTTAAGGGACTCAAGAAGACTTCTCATCAGAAGCAGTGCCCAAGTAGCAATGACCTAAGCTTCTATTTTATTAACAATGCAAAGGCATTTTGCTTTGTGGGTCATAATAAATTATGGATCACACTGGGAAGAATGAGAATCCTGGATCAATTAATTGCACTCATGGGGAACCTGTACATGGAGCAGCTGTTCAAACACCACTAAGAGATATTGCACGGCTTAAAATTGGTAAAGTTTTGTGTCAGGGTTGCCTCCTTTCTCTACCCATAGTCAATCTGTATGCTGAGCAGATAATTTAAAAATCTCAAGAAGTGGTGTCAGGATTTTAGGAAGACTCATCAAAATCATGCACTATACAGACAACAGCCTTTCTTGTGGAAAAGAAAAATTTTTTGAACCACTTCCTGATAAAGCTCAAAGACTAGAATCTTCACTGTGTATTAAAATCCAATATAAAGACTTTAAAAAATAATCTTCATAGTAAATAACATATAATAAATTAAAAATATTCAAATTGTTAAAGATTTAATTTTGCTTACAATCAACACCAGGTAACAACAATCAAGAAATAAAAATAAAAGTTTCTAATTTTAAGGAGTGCTTTGTTTATTGGGGGCTTCTTTCCATTCCAAAAGGTAGGAGGTATCTCACTCCTTGATTTCAAATTCTACTACACTGCCATGGTGGTTAAGACAGCATGGTACTGGTACAATGACAGACACATAGATAAATGGAATAGAATTGAGAACCCAGAAATCAGGCCATCTACCTATGGTCAACTGATTTTTGGCAAGGAGATGAAATCAGTTAAGTGGGGACACGACAGCCTTTATAACAAATGGTGTTGGCAAAATTGAAATATATCTACAGAAGACTCAAGCAAGATTCACACCTCACTCCATATAAAAAAACCAACTCAAGGTGGGTCATGGACCTAGGACTAAAACCAAGGACTATAAACTTCATTAAAGAAAAGCTTGGAAGAATTCTAGTAGTACTAATCCAGAACATAAACAGTCTTCCAAGTATCCTGAAAAATCTACAACCAGGAAAAGATAAAATAGATGAATGGGACCTTCTGAGAATCAAAACCCTATGCACATCCAAAAACTTCTCCAACAGGGTAACAAGGGAAGCCACAGACTGGGAAAAAGTATTTGGTAATGACATGTCAGATAAGGGACTTATATCTAGAATTTATAAAATACTTGAGCACCAC